GTGTCAGACAAATTTATTAAGCAGTTTGGATGGCCTGGCCATATTTCTGTTTTTTTTTTTTTTTTACTTTACCTTTGAACATCTTACTAGTTTATTAATTAATGAGTTGAATAAAATTTAACGTGTTCATCGTATATTTGAGACTAATCTTTGTCTTGTAGAAAGTGTTTTTTAATATTTGCATGAGCAGTCAGCTTCCGGAAGCCCCGTTCTAGACCAGCTTTCCTGCATGCCCCGACCACCAGGTATCTTACATCAAGTTTATAAGGGATAGTCTGCAATTTCGCTGCTTGTCATGGGCTGTCTAAGTAAATGCATGGGCCTCCCGAGTGGTGAAGTTTAATATCTCAGCACATTGCCACTAGCTACCCCCAGCCACTGGGGCTTGAGTTCCATCCCCAGCCCGTGGGGGTGGGGGGTTGCATGGGGGTTGGGGAGGTGTGTGACCCAGCAGACCTCTCCTGTCTCCCTGCTCCCCTCAGCAGGATATTTCAGTGGATCCACCTGTTCTGTTCCCCACTTTGTCTCTGGTGAAGTCTTCACTCCCTGCACCTCTGGCCTAGACCCCAGTTCTTATATGCATGAATAAATAAAAAATAAATTAAAAAAATAGATAAATCATGATTTGAGCCTAGGTACATTCTGAAACATTTATATTCTGAGTTTGTTTAACAAAAACACACAAACTCCTAAGTACCACACCTACTCCTTACCCATTCATTCAACAAAGCAGATGGTAGGCTACATGTGGGCAGGACTGAGCTTTTGTGTCCCTAGAGTTTACCTGTTACCTGCATCATGGCAAACACAAAGAAGATCTGCTGAGCCAACATATGAATGAATAAGCTTAACTGACATTTATTAAGCCCTTACTATGTGCCAGGAACTGTTTTAAACATTTTATTTGAATTAATTTGTATAATCCTCAAACCAGTCTTGCAAGGTGAAGTGTAATTACTACCCCCATCTATAGATAATGCACAGAGAGGTTAATTAACTTGCCCATGATCATCAGCTAGGGAGGGACTTGGGCAAGATTCAAGCCCAGGTAGTTGGGCTCCAGAGCCTGTGATCTTGGACACCCACTATGTGCTAGGTTACTAATGTAAAAAGATATAGAAATAAAAGGGTATAAATTCTCTCTGATACAGACTCCTTCAAAGAGGTCACAGTCAAGAAAGAAGATAAATCAGAACAATGTTCTGTGACAGGTAAGAACAGTGTGGGGAAAGGACTGGCTGGGGTATGACTCTGCACAGGATTCCCCCGACCTCAGGTAAAGTCTGAGGCACTGCCAGCCAATCTGCAGGCTGAGAGAAGGGAAGAGCACTCAGGCCACCAGAACAGTGTGTACATGGTGGGTCGGAGGCCATGAGAGCTGGAGGCCAGCACAGCACATAGGCGTATAAGGAAAGAGGAGGAGGTAAGACTGGGGAAAGAGGAGACCGATATGGATGTGGGGTGCTTTAGGTACTGAGGGAGGGTTCAAACTGGGACACTCCTTGGAGGCCTAACAGAACTTTAAGCAATGGCTTTGTAAGCTCAGACTCCACGCTCCGCCTCCTTCCCACCCATGAGACATTAAACCTAGTACACAGAATTCCCTATAAGCCATATCCTACCCTAGAGAGTTTTCAGGGAGGCCTAGATTGGAAGGAGATGCTAATTGAGTCTGGGACACACCCAGTGCCACCTGGGAGCAGTGTGGCTGGGAACTCTCCTTCAGGCCTACAATTCCTTCAGCCTGGCCACCTCAAGCGACAAACACTCCCTCCTGTCAACTCTGGATGAGGTCACAGATAAGAATTAAGCACCCTCCCTTTCTCCATCCCCTCCCTGCCCACCCCCTGACTCCCTCATCCTAAACAGCTGCAGAGTGTGGCACACCCAGCCCCAGTCAGAGGAAGGAGGAAAGGAGACCAGAGCTTCCTGGGGGAGTCCTGGCTCTGGGCTGTGCCCTCCCCTCCCACAGGGCTGAGGCTGGTGATTAGCTGGGTTAATTATATCCAAGCCATTTCCGATTGGCACAAGCCCACCCACCCACAGAGCCTGCCCAGAAGGCTGCAGACCTGCTCCAGGGTCCGGCCCCCAGCTACCAGGAGAGGGACCCTGACCCCAGACTGCTGCGCCAAGTGGAGGCAGTCGAAGTTGTTCTCCTTCCAGGACCTCCCCCTCTCCTCTTCGCCCCAGATCTCAACACTTCTTACCCCATGCTCCTTTTTGCCTGTTCCCACACACACACCCCTCTCCCTCCCTCCTTATCCCCCCAGGTTTGGAATGAAATCATGGGACTCCGAGTTCCGCATGAGGCCCCGACATAAACACTCTGATTGGGGCTAATTATAAGGGCCAGGTTGGGAGGCTGGAGCCTTCAGAAAGCTTGGCTTTCAAACAAAGAGCCCAGGACTCAGCCCCCAGCCCAGGCCGGCTCCTCTCCAGATTTTGTTAGGAATAAGGAGGGGTCTTGGGCCAAAGGCCCCCAGTCCCCTCTAAACCTAATCAATGGTCTTCGAGCTTTTTCCTTGTCTCATCTTGTCCTTTTTCGGCAGCTTCTGCCTTAACCCTTCCAGGTCTCAAATGCCAGTGCCTCTGCAGAGGGCTAGGAGGAGCGGCAGGCCTTAAGGAAGGTGAGGCAGCCGGGGAGGGGGCTCTCAGGCCAGGCGGAGAGGCTGGGATGGCAGGAGGGGGTGGGGAGAGCAGGGGAAGCCAGCTGTGACCACCCCAGCCCTAATTAGCTAGTTTCAAAGCTGGCTGGAGAGAGCCGGCCTGCGTGTGTGCCCTGCTCATTCAGGCCTTGCTCATTCAGGCGGGTAAGACGTTTCTGTCCTAATCAGAGAGAAGGGGGAACACTGCCCACCACCTCCCAGAGGTTCAGAGGAACCTCTGAACAGGACCTGCCCGGGTCAGGTGGAAAACTGGGAGCCAAGTATTCTATTAAAACTTACCGGAAGCTACAAGTTCAAGAGAACAGCACATCCTTTGATCCAGTGATCCCACTTTTAGGAATTTATGCTAGGTGACTGGAGGGTGCTGCTATTTCTTGAACTTCTACTATGTGCTGGTGCTGTAACATGCATCCTCTCATCTTATCTTCACCAGCTCCTTGCTACACAGGTACTGGGGATGCGAGCTGGCACTGTTTCATGCCGAAGTCTGTTCTTTCTAAACAAAGCCTCCAACTTTCCCCCCTTGACAAAGCATTGGACATTCATTACAAAGCATTGGTAACTTGTTATCTGCAGGAGGGACAGGATCCACCAGTTTGGGGCCCCAACATCCTTTTAGAAAGCTTATGGGAATAATCCAGAAGTCAGCAGCTCTAGATTCCACTGATCCTTTGGGGTAGTTCAGAAAAAGTTCATCTTGTAAAAGTATTGTGTCTCTTTTTTTTTGACTGACTCTTAAGCTCACAGAATTCGTAACAGAACCGTTTTCAGGAGGGGAAGTCTGGGATGGGGGAGGAAAAGTAAAAATCTGATCAATGGGGAGATTAGGAGGGAGTCTGCAAGAGAAATGCCCTGCAGCTGGAGGAGGAGCAGCACTGCTCCTTTGTGAGATGGGTGATGGGGTGCGGGTGGGAGAGAGGCAGGAAGCAGTTGTGGTCTGAGACAGCCCTCAGTGAGGGCTCTCCTGAGTCCTTGCCCACGCCAGACAACACCTCACTCAGCCAGTGGATGGGGCCAACACATTTACAACTGGGTAACTTTCCCTGCCAGTAGGCAATCCAGGTATCTGCGAAAGCAGAACTCCTGCTTCCTATTTTTAACTGGGTTTTCCAAACAAGGGAGTGGAGCTCCCTCTCCAGGAGTGGCAGTGAGCTCGGTAGGTTTACCTAGCTCCCTAAATCCCCTGCACCTTAGGCTAATACTACCCTCCCTCTGACATCGTTTCATTGAACTGCTGAAACCAGGAAGGAGGTTCCCCCTCCTTACTTTCTGTCAGGTAGTTCAGCCCTGGGCTGGGAGAAAGGGAAGGCATCTAGAAGGCAAGACTGTCCCTTCCCAAAGGGAATCAGCTCATCTATTCTCCCCCTCCCCAAAAACCTAACTTTTCAGATTTCCCAGGTCCTCTTCCCTTACCTTGGCAGGAGACTCTGAAGTTGAGAGAGCAGCTATGTGAACCAAGTTTCCCTCTTACCCCACTCAGGGAAGGAAAAAGTAATTGTTAAGTCCACGTCTCCTATCAGCCTGAGGGTCCACTGACAAATGTACCCCAAACACAAAGAACTGGGGTTCTGGAGGTTTAGAGAGTGGATGGAAAGAAGGGGTGCTTGTCCTTAATTCTTCAACTGAGCCGCTCTCCTCTCCCCACTGGGCTCCATCCCAGCCCCCTCCCCTTTCATGAGGTAGTTTTGCCACGATTTCCAGGAGAAGCACTCACACTTTGTAATTTAACTCTTTCCTTCAACCCTTGTGGGGTTCCTTTGGGATCTTGCAACAAATGGACTGTAAGGGCAGTGACACCTTGAAAACAGCTTCTTTGATAAGAGAATCTCATGTTGAGATTTCACACACATCCTCATTTGAGGAAAAGCTACTTTTAACTTTTAACTTATGTAGGCTCTGGTCACAAAAGCTATGGAGGGATATTATATTTTTGGGAAGGGGGCTCGGCTGAAATCCCCAAGCTTCATACAATTCCAAACAAAGCCCCACATACGACTTCAATTACCACCAAACATTTCCAGATCCCCTCCCCCAACATAAACTAACACAGGCAAACCTTCCAAGCAGGGGTCCTAACTTAACTTTCTCCCCATCCCAAAGACAGCTAACAAAGGGTGGTAAGGCACCATTTCCCCCATCACCATTTAGCTTAAAAAAAAAAAAAGCAAGGTCTTAGGAACCCCACCCCTGACCAAGTAGGTCAGGGGGAGAGGGGAGGTGTGGTTTGGTTAAACTAATAAAAAGTTACAACCCTGTTAAATACAATTAAAGGGCTAGATCTCTAGAAGATAATTAAATGTACTTTATTATGATTATTAGCTTTTAATTTGCACTATTATCAAGAAACAGGAGATGGTCAAAAATTGAATTATGTGGCATACTTACTCCACCGCAGCCCCTGGGTTTCAAATCAATCTGCTGGAATTAAGTCTAAAATATTCCAAATATTTGAGGGAAATGATGTGTATTGGAAACTGGAGTTCTCATACCAGCGTCAAAGATACTTTAAGAAAAGTCTTGAGTTTTATTTGTGGGGGGTAGGGAGAAGATAAGAAACATCTGTTATAAACATTCTATCCATCTTGTGATATAGAATGTCATGTAAACACTCAACCCCACCCCCACAGTCACAAAGAGTCTGCCCAGAGCCTTCTTCCAAAGCGAAGATACCCACCTTCCCCCCCCCCCCAATACACCCTTTTTCTGGACAAGTTTGCCTAGAGACCAGTCTTTAGGCAAAGAGAAACCGAAAAATCCCACCAGCCCATCTGCCCTCCCGCTAACCCAATCCATTTTTATTGCTTCCTTTAAACAAAATAGACCCCAAATGACAAAAACCCACACGTAACAAGCCACCCCACAAACTGGTAACTCGTACGCCAAAGAAGATATCTAGCTGGGGACACACACCAGCGGAGAGCAGACTGCAAGTGAATGAAGGGGAGAGTCAAGGGCAATTCCCAGGCCCAAAATGGGCTGAAGAAATGCTCCAAGACTAATGCTCCCCCTAAAAAAAAGGAAGCAGGAGAGGCTCTCAAAGGTGTGTGTGTGTGTGTGTGTGTGTGTGTGTGTGTGTAGAAGGGGGTTTCAAAACACACTTCACAGAGCACTTTCTGCCCACTCCAAGCACAAAAAGAAAAGTGAGAGAAAGGTCCTGCTTGGCCAGGAGCCAGCAGGAGCCACGGAGGCCATTCCTCAACCAGGCTCCTCGGCCTGGCCCACCCGCCACCAGTGTTTGGGTCCCCCCCCATCTCTGTTGGGAGGTTCAAAGATAAAGTAAAGGAGATAAAACAAGTGAGGAGGTATGTGGGGAAAGAGAAAGAACCCCAAAAGAACCCAGGTCCTGTTCAAAAATACCCAACAGCTTCCACAGGCCCAGCATCGGTGAGGAGCTCTGCCAGCCTGGCGTCAGAAGTCGAATTTAACCAGCTCCCAACTCCTCAGGCCAACAGCAGGCCCAGCCCTGCCAAATCACCGAAAAATTCGAACCGAAGTAGGGGGGCTAAAAGGGCCAACTAAAGAAGAGACCCCTCTCAACTCTTCACCCCTTTCCTCGGCCCCGGCGCCCCTCACGGCTTTTCCGTCCCCTCTTTTCTTTTAAATAGCAAATATATCATTAAATTTACAAAGACTATTTACAGTTTTAATTACAAACCTGGAGGGGGTGTTGGGCAGAGTTCTCTTTAAAAAGCAACCTAAAAAATAAATGGTTTTGACTGTTCTTTATTTAAAAAAATAAAAATAAGGAGTCTGTAAGGAGCGAGTCCCCCAACCGGGAAGGGGGGAAAGCGCGACGCGGGCGAGGGGTGGGGGGTTCCGGGCGCGAGGCGCAGGGGCGCCCCCTCACACGGTGGTCTCCCCGTGTCGGCTGTTGGTGAGGCGGGTGTAGAACTTCCTCCACGAGTGCAGCGTCTTGCCGGACCAGATCCAGAAGCCTGACGTGATGCCCACGATGAGCGTCATGAGGTATTTGATCATGTAGACCGTGAAGTCGGGCGACATGCGCGGCGTGTAGTGAGCGGGGCACGGGATGGCCAGGCTCTTGCAGTGCTGGCTCACCCAGGAGCGCTCCCAGTGCTCGCGGAAGGCCTGCTCGTAGAAGTAGCAGGCGATGACGATGGTGGCGGGCACCGTGTAGAGCACGGAGAAGACGCCAATGCGCACCATGAGCCGCTCCAGCTTCTCCGTCTTGGTGCCGTCGTGCTTCATGATGGTGCGGATGCGGAAGAGCGACACGAAGCCGGCCAGGAGGAAGGACGTGCCTATGAACAGGTACACGAAGAGGGGCGCCAGCACAAAGCCCCGCAGCGGGTCCAGGCTGTTGAGGCCCACGAAGCACACGCCGCTCAGCAGGTCGCCGTCAATCTGGCCCATGGCCAGGATGGTGATGGTCTTGACCGCGGGCACGGCCCACGCGGCCAGATGGAAGTACTGTGAGTTGGCCTCGATGGCCTCGTGACCCCACTTCATGCCCGCCGCCAGGAACCAGGTGAGCGACAGGATGACCCACCAGATGGAGCTGGCCATGCTGAAGAAGTAGAGCATCATGAAGAGGATGGTGCAGCCCTCCTTCTTGGTACCCTGCACCACCGTGCGGTAGCCGTCCTCCGAGAAGCGCTCGTTGCACACCACACGCTCCTGCAGCACGAAGCCGGCGATGTAGGCCACCGACACCATGGTGTAGCAGCCGGAGAGGAAAATGATGGGCCTCTCGGGATAGCGGAAGCGCTGCATGTCCACCAGGTAAGTGGTGACAGTGAAGAAGGTGGAGGCGCAGCACAGCACCGACCAGGTGAGGATCCAGAGGCGCGCGAAGCGCGTCTCCTCCTGGGAGAAAAACATGGAGCCGTCCGGCCGCGCCGGCTCGCAGGGCGCTGCACAGTCGCGCTCGCCTAGAAATTTGTAACTGAGATAGGACGGCACCTTGAGGACGCGGGGACAGTGGAAAGGGTGCTCCAGGGTGGCGTAACGCGGAGGCGAGCCGCCGCCGCCAGGGCCGCCCGGGGTGCCACCAGCACCCGGCTGCAGGCCCGGGGGCGGCGCGGTGGTGAGCAGCGCGGGCGCGCCGTCCTCGGAGTGGTTCTGGCCCACGCAGATCTGCTCCGCGCCATGGCGCGGGAAGTGCTCGCAGCGCAGGCGCTCGGGCCACTGAAAACCGAACTTGTTCATGAGCGCCTCGCAGCCCTGGCGCGCGCGTTCGCAAATGGAGCGGCACGGCGGGATGGCCTGCTCCAGCACGGTGCACACGGGTGCGTACATGGAGCACAGAAAGAAGCGCAGTTCGGGCGAGCACTGCACCTTTACCAGCGGATAGAACTGGTGCACCTCCAGGCCCGCGTCCTCCTGATTCGTATGGCCCAAAAGGTTGGGCATGATGGTCTGGTTGTAGGCGATGTCCGTGCACAGCGGGATAGAGATGGGCTGGCAGAAGCCGTGGTCCGGGATGGAGATGCCCTTCTCCCCGTGGAACTGGGCTGGCCCAGCGGCGGGCAGCAGCAGCAGCGGCAGCAGCAGGCGGGGCAGGGCGCTGCGGGGCC